GCTTCTCCCCAGGCTCGTTGCCTCAACTGCGGTGAGGCCCATCCTACCTTCTCCCGTGCGTGTGTCCATTACAAGCTTGAGGCAGCCGTCCTCAACTTGAAGCACCGGGAGCGTTTATCTTTTCCTGAGGCGAGGCGCCAGGTTCGCCGGCTCCCGCCTTATGCTAATATCTCTTATGCTCGCGTGTTGCGCTCTTCCTCTCCTCGTCCTTCCCGCCTTCTTCAGACTCACAACCGTTTCCAGGCCTTGGACCCTGATGCGCCCACTGCCCCCTCCTCTGTCCCTTTGGGTTCTCTCCCGAAGGATCCTCCTCCTGGTCCTCTGTCTGGGGTTCCCCTTCCTTCTACCCGGTCTGTCGTGTCTTCTGTGTCTCCTTCCTCGTCCCCCTCCGATCCTCCTTCCCATCCTCTTCCTCCATCTATCGGCTCTCCCCGCTGCCTGTCGGTGCGGGCGGATGTCCATCGCTCTCCTAACGGCCGTCGTGTGTGCTCTCGTTCGGCTTCTCCTGTTGAGACACTGGAATCCGTTGCCCGGTACGTAGTTGCTGGGACACCGGTCTCTTTAAGTCAGAAGCGTAAGCCTGGCTCCTCTCCTTCCTCTTCCCCGGCGGGTAAGAAGGCTTCGCTTTCTTCCTCAGCTCCTCCTCCTGGCTCTGTTGCTCCTTCCACTCCCGTTTCAGTGCTTGCGCCCCCTGTTCCTGCTATGGAGGTTTCTTTGGCCCCTGCTTCCCTTTCGGTTGCTGCTCTTGCTGGGGTGCGCTCCTCTCTTTCTACTCCCCCTCTTCCTGCTGCTGTCCTTGACTGCTCCTCTCCGTTGTCTCCTCCTCCTCCTCCGGACCCTGCCCGCCCACCTCTGATCTGTTCTCCCGTTTCCTTCCCTCCGTCTTTGCTCAGTTTACCCATGCCCCCTAACCCTGACTTTGCTGACCCTGATCCCGACCCTGATATTCTTTAACGTGCTCTGTTGGTCTTTCGCCTTTGTTTCTTCCTTGTTCTCTGTTTTTGTCCTTTCTCTTCTCGTCGTTGTCCATTCTTCAATGGAACGTTCGAGGTTATTACGCCAATTTCCTCGAACTCCAACTTCTGGTTTCGCGGTTTTCGCCCCTTTGTGTCTGTCTCCAGGAGCCGATGCTTGGTGCTCGTCCTGGTCGTTTTCGTGGCTATTCCTTTCTCTCCCCCCCCCAGCCATTGCTGGGGCTTCTAATTCTTCTGCTCTCTTGATTCGGGCTGATGTTCCCTTTGTTCCTTTACTTTTTCCTTCGCCTCTCCATTGTTCTGCTGCTCGTATCTTTGTGGGGAAATGGTACACAGTTTGTTCCATTTATCTCCCCCCGAGTGTCCCGCTCTCTCTTCCTGATTTGAAACACCTCCTAGACTCCTTGCCGGAGCCTGTGCTCCTGCTGGGTGACTTCAATTGTCGTCATTCTCTTTGGGGTGACGTTCTGACGAATACCCGGGGTCGCCTCCTTGAGCCGTTTCTCCTCTCTTCTTCCCTGTCTCTTCTGAATTCTGGTGAGCCCACTCATTTGGACTCTCGAACTCGCACCCTTTCTTGTCTTGATCTTTCTCTCTGCTCTTCTTCTCTTTACTTAGATTTCACATGGCAGGTTCTTGATGACCTCCATGGAAGTGATCATTTCCCCATCCTTGTTTCCTTTTTCTCTTTTCGCCCTTCCCTCTCTTTCCCTAGGTGGCAGTTTGCTAAGGCGGACTGGACCCTATTTTCCCTCAGTGCTACTCTCTCTGACCTCTCCCTTCTGCCCCTCTCTCGCGCTCTCCTCCTTTTTCATGACACTGTCTTCGACGCTGCCCTCCGCTCTATTCCTCGCTCTTCCTCTCGGGGTCCACGGAAGTGCGTTCCCTGGTGGAATGCGGACTGTGCTCGGGCTGTCCGCTGTAAGCGTGCAGCCTGGAAGAAGCACCGCCATAGGCAGACGACCGATTCTTTTCTTTTCTTTCGGAAAGCGAGTGCGGTGGCCCGTAGGGCCATCCGTACGGCTAAACGTGAATGTTGGGCATCTTATGTCTCGACAATTACGTCCGAAACCCCTCTGGCCCAGATCTGGAAGCGTATCCGCAAGATAGCGGGTAAGTTCGTTCCCGATGTTTCACCGGTCCTTCACCTCCATGATACTCTTGTGGCGGACCCGTTGCAGGTCGCTTCCGAACTGGGTTCCCACTTTTCTTCTGTTAGCTCTGGTCTTCATCTTCCCCAATCTTTCCTTCTTCGTAAACCTGTCCTTGAGTCTCGTCCTTTAGATTTCTGCACTCATCTTCAGCTTCCCTATAATGATCCCTTCTCTCTCTCTGAACTTCGTTCTGCCCTGGCCCTCTGCGGTTCTACGGCGGCGGGCTCCGATGGTATTCATTATGAGATGCTTCGCCATCTCCCTCCGAGCACGTCTCAGTATTTACTGGGTCTGTATAATCGGATCTGGGAGTCGTCGTCAGTCCCTGAGGACTGGCTCGATGCCGTTGTCCTCCCTGTTCGCAAACCGGGGTCTCTGGGTACTTCCCCTAAGGACTTTCGCCCTATTGCTCTCACAAGTTGTGTCTGCAAACTCTTTGAACGTATGGTTAACGTTCGTCTGATGTGGTTCCTGGAACACCATCACCTCCTCTCCCCTTCTCAATTTGGTTTCCGCAAGTGCCGCAGCACGACAGATGTCCTGGTGAACTTGGAGGTCTATATACGTACTGCTTTTGCTGCGAAGACCTCCGTTGTTGCCGTCCTTTTTGACCTAGAAAAGGCTTACGACACCACTTGGCGTTATCATATCCTATCTCAACTTCATTCTTTTGGCCTTCGTGGTCATCTCCCTCTCTTTCTCCGCAGCTTCCTCTCTCGTCGTTCCTTTCGGGTGCGCCTTGGTACCGCTCTCTCTCCCTCTTTTCAGCAATACGAAGGTGTGCCCCAGGGTAGTGTTCTGAGCACTACTCTTTTTCTGGTTGCCCTCAATGGTCTTCTTTCCTCTCTTCCTTCTGGTGTCTTCTCCGCTCTCTATGTCGATGATCTTACCCTTTGTTGTCAGGGTGATGATTCGCCTCTCCTTCAACGCCGGCTTCAACTTGCGATTGATGCCGTGTCGTCTTGGGCCACAGGTCATGGCTTCAAGTTCTCTACTTCTAAGACTTGTGCCATGACTTTTACGCGGAAACGGGTTGTTCTTCGTCCCTCTTTGTCACTTTATGGTCATCCCCTTGAATACAAAGATTCCGCGAAGCTTTTGGGGTTATTCCTTGACACTCGTTTGTCTTGGTCTCCCCATATCTCTTACCTCCGTGTTGAGTGCTCTAAGTCCCTTACCCTCCTTCGGGTCTTGTCCCATACTTCTTGGGGGGCAGATAGGCGCACTCTCCTTGCTTTACATTCCTCTCTCGTCCTGTCTAAGCTCGATTATGGTTGCCCTGCTTACTCGTCTGCTTCTCCTTCTACTCTTCGCCGTCTTGATGCTTTGCACCATACTGGGTTGCGCCTCAGTTCTGGTGCCTTTCGTTCGACTCCCGTCCTTAGCTTGTATGTTGACACTGGCTTCCTGTCTCTCCAGGACCGCCGTGATCGCTACTGTCTTCGCTATCTTGCGCGGTCCTTGCAACATCCTTCCTCTCGTCTCTGTCGTGCTTTAACTTTTACCCCTCCTGCGGTTCCTGTTCCTCTTCACCACCTCCCTCTTTCTGTCCGGTTATCTCGCCTGCAGGATTCTCTTTCCGTTCGTATTTCTGATGTTTCTCCTCGTGTTGTTCCTTCTTTGCCCCCGTGGAGGGTCCCTCTTCCGCGGTTTTGTACATCCTTGACTCGTATCACTAAAGCTTTTACCCCTCCTACAGTTCTAAAACGCCTTTTCCTCGAGCACTTTTCTTCTCACTCCCGCTCCGTTTCTGTCTTCACCGATGGGTCTAAGTCAGCGGACGGTGTTGGCTACTCTGTTGTTTTTCCTGATCGCACTTATATGTGTCGCTTGCCTCCGGAGACTAGCATCTTTACAGCGGAACTTTATGCTATTCTCTATGCTCTTCGTCTCCTGCTTTCTCGTTGTCAGTCTTCCTTTGTGGTTGTTGTTGACTCTCGTAGTGCCCTCATGGCTCTCGGGTGCTTTAATCCAGTTCATCCGGTAGTTGTCGAGATCCAGCATTGGCTGTTTCTCGTTCACAGTAAATTTAAGTCGGTTGAGTTTTGTTGGGTTCCCAGCCATATTGGCGTGTCTTTAAATGAGCGTGCGGATGCTGCCGCTAAGGAAGCTGTCCGCTCTTGTCCCATCTCTCGTAAAGGCATTCCGTATTCCGACTTTTACCCGGTTATCCATTCCTCAGTCCTTGCCCGTTGGCAGGCTTCTTGGTTGTCTGTTACTGGTAACAAGCTACGTACTCTTAAATGTTGTGTTTCCTCGTGGCCGTCCTCCTTCCACCGTAACCGGCGGTGGGAAACAGCTCTAGCGAGGTTGCGTATTGGCCATACTCGCTTAACCCATGGTCACTTGATGGAGCGCCGCCCTGCTCCTTATTGTCCTAGTTGCATTGTCCCTCTTACGGTCGTGCATGTCCTTCTTGAATGTCCTGACTTCCAGGACGAGCGTGTGTCTTGCTTTCCGACCGCCCCTCGCGGTCACCTGTCCCTCGATAGAATTCTTGGTGACTCGGATACTTTTGATATCGTTCGCCTTATGCGTTTTTGTTCTCGTATTGGCATCCTTGGTGATATTTAGCGCCCTCTGATTATTTTGCGTATTTGATGGTGCTACATAGCCTTCCCGGTTTGGTGCCTTCTTTTGATAATTACTTACTTTATTATTCGTTTTAAAAGCCAGAATATTAAGTAGAATTTGTATTGTTAGTATTTATTACTTTGCTCTTAGCACATTCATTTCTTCATCAATACAATAAAATATTATAATGTTTTGGTGTTGCATCTTCAGTTTGCATAGTATATCAGTGTTCATAACACATTATTCACAATTTGTTGTGGAATTACAAAGTTGATTAACATGCTGGAGATACTTTCAGGTTCGAGGGATGTTGGGAGAGACGGATGAAGACAAGGCCATTCAACTGGAGAAGCAGGTAAATCTTGTCTTGACTGTTACATGACAGTTTAGCATTTGGCAATCACAGTGGTTAACTACTTGACGTTATCTTGAGATGATTTCGGGGCTTTTTTTTTTAGTGTCCCCGCGGCCCGGTCCTCGACCAGGCCTCCACCCCCAGGAAGCAGCCCGTGACAACTGACTAACACCCAGGTACCTAATTTACTGCTAGGTAACAGGGGCATAGGGTGAAAGAAACTCTGCCCAATGTTTCTCGCCGGCGCCTGGGATCGAACCCAGGACCACAGGATCACAAGTCCCGCGTGCTGTCCGCTCGGCCGACCGGTTAACTTAGCCTCAGTTAACTCAGCAACAGTTAACATAGCAGCAGGTAACATAGCAAGTTCAGTTAAATGTTCACAGAACAAATGTCTTGGCTACAACAGCAGGTCCTGTCTTGGCTACAACAGTAGGTCCTGTCTTGCCTACAACAGTAGGTCCTGTCTTGGCTACAACAGTAGGTCCTGTCTTGGCTACACCAGCAGGTCCTGTCTTGGCTACAACAGCAGGTCCTGTCTTGGCTATAACAGTAGGTCCTGTCTTGGCCACAACAGTAGGTCCTGTCTTGGCCACAACAGCAGGTCCTGTCTTGGCTACAACAGCAGGTCCTGTCTTGGCTACAACAGCAGGTCCTGTCTTGGCTACAACAGCAGGTCCTGTCTTGGCTACAACAGCAGGTCATATCTTGGCTACAACAGCAGGTCCTGTCTTGGCTACAACAGTAGGTCCTGTCTTGGCTACAACAGCAGGTCCTGTCTTGGCTACAACAGCAGGTCCTGTCTTGGCTACAACAGCAAGTCCTGTCTTGGCTACAACAGCAAGTCCTGTCTTGGCTACAACAGTAGGTCCTGTCTTGGCTACAACAGCAAGTCCTGTCTTGGCTACAACAGTAGGTCCTGTCTTGGCTACAACAGTAGGTCCTGTCTTGGCTACAACAGTAGGTCCTGTCTTGGCTACAACAGTAGGTCCTGTCTTGGCTACAACAGTAGGTCCTGTCTTGGCTACAACAGTAGGTCCTGTCTTGGCTACAACAGTAGGTCCTGTCTTGGCTACAACAGTAGGTCCTGTCTTGGCTACAACAGTAGGTCCTGTCTTGGCTACAACAGTAGGTCCTGTCTTGGCTACAACAGTAGGTCCTGTCTTGGCTACAACAGTAGGTCCTGTCTTGGCTACAACAGTAGGTCCTGTCTTGGCTACAACAGTAGGTCCTGTCTTGGCTACAACAGTAGGTCCTGTCTTGGCTACAACAGTAGGTCCTGTCTTGGCTACAACAGTAGGTCCTGTCTTGGCTACAACAGTAGGTCCTGTCTTGGCTACAACAGTAGGTCCTGTCTTGGCTACAACAGTAGGTCCTGTCTTGGCTACAACAGTAGGTCCTGTCTTGGCTACAACAGTAGGTCCTGTCTTGGCTACAACAGTAGGTCCTGTCTTGGCTACAACAGTAGGTCCTGTCTTGGCTACAACAGTAGGTCCTGTCTTGGCTACAACAGTAGGTCCTGTCTTGGCTACAACAGTAGGTCCTGTCTTGGCTACAACAGTAGGTCCTGTCTTGGCTACAACAGTAGGTCCTGTCTTGGCTACAACAGTAGGTCCTGTCTTGGCTACAACAGTAGGTCCTGTCTTGGCTACAACAGTAGGTCCTGTCTTGGCTACAACAGTAGGTCCTGTCTTGGCTACAACAGTAGGTCCTGTCTTGGCTACAACAGTAGGTCCTGTCTTGGCTACAACAGTAGGTCCTGTCTTGGCTACAACAGTAGGTCCTGTCTTGGCTACAACAGTAGGTCCTGTCTTGGCTACAACAGTAGGTCCTGTCTTGGCTACAACAGTAGGTCCTGTCTTGGCTACAACAGTAGGTCCTGTCTTGGCTACAACAGTAGGTCCTGTCTTGGCTACAACAGTAGGTCCTGTCTTGGCTACAACAGTAGGTCCTGTCTTGGCTACAACAGTAGGTCCTGTCTTGGCTACAACAGTAGGTCCTGTCTTGGCTACAACAGTAGGTCCTGTCTTGGCTACAACAGTAGGTCCTGTCTTGGCTACAACAGTAGGTCCTGTCTTGGCTACAACAGTAGGTCCTGTCTTGGCTACAACAGTAGGTCCTGTCTTGGCTACAACAGTAGGTCCTGTCTTGGCTACAACAGTAGGTCCTGTCTTGGCTACAACAGTAGGTCCTGTCTTGGCTACAACAGTAGGTCCTGTCTTGGCTACAACAGTAGGTCCTGTCTTGGCTACAACAGTAGGTCCTGTCTTGGCTACAACAGTAGGTCCTGTCTTGGCTACAACAGTAGGTCCTGTCTTGGCTACAACAGTAGGTCCTGTCTTGGCTACAACAGTAGGCCCTGTCTTGGCTACAACAGTAGGCCCTGTCTTGGCTACAACAGTAGGCCCTGTCTTGGCTACAACAGTAGGCCCTGTCTTGGCTACAACAGTAGGCCCTGTCTTGGCTACAACAGTAGGTCCTGTCTTGGCTACAACAGTAGGTCCTGTCTTGGCTACAACAGTAGGTCCTGTCTTGGCTACAACAGTAGGTCCTGTCTTGGCTACAACAGTAGGTCCTGTCTTGGCTACAACAGTAGGTCCTGTCTTGGCTACAACAGTAGGTCCTGTCTTGGCTACAACAGTAGGTCCTGTCTTGGCTACAACAGTAGGTCCTGTCTTGGCTACAACAGTAGGTCCTGTCTTGGCTACAACAGTAGGTCCTGTCTTGGCTACAACAGTAGGTCCTGTCTTGGCTACAACAGTAGGTCCTGTCTTGGCTACAACAGTAGGTCCTGTCTTGGCTACAACAGTAGGTCCTGTCTTGGCTACAACAGTAGGTCCTGTCTTGGCTACAACAGTAGGTCCTGTCTTGGCTACAACAGTAGGTCCTGTCTTGGCTACAACAGCAGGTCCTGTCTTGGCTACAACAGCAGGTCCTGTCTTGGCTACAACAGTAGGTCCTGTCTTGGCTACAACAGTAGGTCCTGTCTTGGCTACAACAGTAGGTCCTGTCTTGGCTACAACAGTAGGTCCTGTCTTGGCTACAACAGTAGGTCCTGTCTTGGCTACAACAGTAGGTCCTGTCTTGGCTACAACAGTAGGTCCTGTCTTGGCTACAACAGCAGGTCCTGTCTTGGCTTCAACAGCAGGTCCTGTCTTGGCTATAACAGCAGGTCCTGTCTTGGCTACAACAGCAGGTCCTGTCTTGGCTACAACAGCAGGTCCTGTCTTGGCTACAACAGCAGGTCCTGTCTTGGCTACAACAGCAGGTCCTGTCTTGGCTATAACAGTAGGTCCTGTCTTGGCTACAACAGTAGGTCCTGTCTTGGCTACAACAGTAGGTCCTGTCTTGGCTACAACAGTAGGTCCTGTCTTGGCTACAACAGTAGGTCCTGTCTTGGCTACAACAGTAGGTCCTGTCTTGGCTACAACAGCAGGTCCTGTCTTGCTACAACAGTAGGTCCTGTCTTGGCTACAACAGCAGGTCCTGTCTTGCTACAACAGTAGGTCCTGTCTTGGCTACAACAGCAGGTCCTGTCTTGGCAACAATAGCAGGTCCTGTTTTAGCTACAATAGCAGGTCCTGTTTTAGCTACAACAGCAGGTCCTGTTTTAGCTACAACTGCAGGTCCTGTCTTAGGTCCTATAGCATGTCTTGGTGTAAGGGATTGATATTTTTGGTATGGTAAAGTGCATGAGATAAAAACCTGTCCTTACTGCATGGAAATGATTATGTAATCGTTAAGAAAAAATAGCGAGTCTTCCTCGCAGGTGCCAAAATTGACTACAATAACATCCTTAAATTTGCATCTTGCTGGAGAGAGAGCCATACCTTGTCAAGATAACTCATCCTTCTCACTACTAGGGGCATTTTCATTAAAGCATACAGGTTAAGGTCTAAATAATTATTTATAAATTTACAGCTGATTTTATTTTCATAGCCTTTTGGGGGTTAAGTTTACAAAAATTTCTCAAATGTTACTTTAACTAATAACACTGAATGAATACGTTGATGAGCACTATTGGTCCAACAAGAGCCAGGACTTGATCACTAAGAAGGTATACTGTTGTATACAATCCTTCTTAGCATCAATGCTTAACTTTTCAATTACTCTTTAGAGTGCACTTGACTGAACCATGTTCACTGTTAAACCAGCATTACTAAGTGGATTATGCCAATGGTAGGCCAACAAACATTAAAAGGAAACTTTGCATTTGATAGCACTAGGTATAGTATTTATTTATATTTATGTATAGTATTTTATTTATTTACTAGGTATTTATAGGGGCCACGTAGCCTGGTGGATAGCGCGCAGGATTCGTAATTCTGTGGCGCGGGTTCGATTCCCGCACGAGGCAGAAACAAATGGGCAAAGTTTCTTTCACCCTGAATGCCCCTGTTACCTAGCAGTAAATAGGTACCTGGGAGTTAGTCAGCTGTCACGGGCTGCTTCCTGGGGGTGGAGGCCTGGTCGAGGACCGGGCCGCGGGGACACTAAAAAGCCCCGAAATCATCTCAAGATAACCTCAAGATAACCTCAAGGTACATTTAAAATTCAGCATAACATGCACAAGGGGGAAAAATCATGTTCAGTTACCAGTCACTGCTAGGACATTTAACAATGAGTTTCCTACAGCTATTCTCTAATACAAAGGCATCACACTACAAGATCTAGTCACTGCATTTGTAGACAAGTGGGACGATCACACCTACACGTCAAGCTTCATCGGGGGATGACGGTCTTGTTTTACTTCTGCCCACACTATGGACAAGTGCCAGCTCATGATGAATTGGCATGTCAACTATTCCAATGATTTTTTTCTGTTCAACCTTTATTATGTCTCATTTCTTATTGAGTTTAAACTGGCATTCTACATAAAACACTTATATTTTCACCATGTTTTCTAATCATAGAATTTACTTGTGAATGTTTATAAAAGAATTGGTCACTGTTTACTTATGTTTAGAGGAGGGGAGGGGGCAATTGACACAACCATTTAATGGTATCTGCTGCCTTAGTGAGAATGTTGAAAGTTCACTTTACAGCATGACATTTACAATTAAACACATCACAAGGTTATATTGTGATGTTATATTCCATATATTCAATATAAGCCCTCCCTTATATTGGCTACAACAGCAGCTGGAGATCTTGTCATAACTACAACAACTGCAGCAGGTCTTGTCATAACTATACTAGAAGCAGGCAATCTTGTTATAGCCACAACAAAAGCAAGAGGTCTAATTATGTTAACAGCAGCTGCAGGAGGAAGTCTTGTAGCTACAGCAGCAATAGCAGCTCTTGTTGCAGCTACATCAGTAGCTCATCTTGTTATAGCTACAACAAAATGTTGTCTTGTCATAGCTGCATCAGCAGGTATAATCTTGTCTCTGACTCTGTTTTCTGTCCTATAGGTAGTCCCTTTCCCAGTTCAGTATTTTCATAGTTATCTCTACATATCAGTATGTATGCATATTTTACATTATATGAAACATAAATAGCACTAGTAATATGGTAATACAGTACAGTATATCATTTAACTAAGAAAAATATAGCAAGAAATACAAAAATGTACTGGAAACAAACTGCCGCAAGGCACCTCACTGTATCATTTGTCTCCGAGTTAACACAGCAAGCTAGCCTACCATCCAGCTACCAGAGTTAGTTGACCTTACAACTCCAACACAGCTAAACCATAACACATGCAGAATCTGTTTTTATGATATTTTGGCTTCCTGAATGCTCTCAACAATATTCTGAGGAAAAAAAATTAAAATTACTCGCATGAAGGGGCAAGGCACATAATTTTGGCCTTAAGTTTTAGGGTTGACAGAAAACCACTGATAAACAGGCTGTGATGGAATTCCCTCAGATTAATAGAAGTATAAAAGTCTGTCATCATTTACAGCCAGGTTCCCTTTTCTGTGTATTTTTTTTATTAAATTTTGTCATGTTTATATGCTACATTGTAAGTTTTACAATCCACTTTAATTTCATTATTTTCAGTACTGCCATTCAAATTCTGTATGTTATGTTTTCCAAAATGAAATTCTCTCATTTGGCTATATTGTCTTGAATTTGTGTTAATCAGCCTGGCTGTGTATTGTCTCCCCTTTCTCCATTCCTAAGGGAAGTAAAGATACTTTATTCCCATTGTCTTGGAACTGTGTTAATAAGTGCTTTTGCCTCTTGCCACCTCCCTTATTCCATCCTCAAGGGACAAAGCGATGTACGAACATCAGACTTGACAGGAAGCTTCAAGAGAGCCATGTGTCCTCAACTCATGCAGAGTGAATATCTTGCATCTAGCTGTGTAACGCTACGAGATGTTCACACTCCTCACCAACCAACACCAATTTTGGTTTCTTTGGTAACATTCCTTCAGTTTTTACTACATGCCTTTGCTAATCATGTTCTCTACTTCTTGATATGAGAACACCAGCATTCCTGACAAATTTCGTCTAAACTTATCCACTTTATTTCAAGTAACTTGTGCTAAAGTGCACACAACATATCTGCTGTGACTTCAAGTAGGTAATCTTTGTACTATCTTTGACAAGCCGCTGGCTTCCTGTCCTCGTTGAGGCCACTAGAGTGTTAATGACCCGCAGGTAAATTCAGGTAATCACAAATGCATTGGAATGTTAGTGATAAAGTGAAGTTTATTAGACGAGGGAACGCCATGGCAGTTAGTTTCATTGTTTTAACCCTTAAGCTGTGCAAAACTGTGATATGAAGTCAGACATAGAGTTCAGTTTTTAAAATTTGCAGAAACACTTTCAAGTGTTTTGTGCATAATCTACTTGGCAAATGCTCCAACTTTGTCTAAATGATACCAATGTAACTTGAAAAATAAGAAAATAAAAAATAACTATAAAATTGAATATTGAAAACTTCAGATTTTGAAATCAGCTTCAAAAATATATAATATCACCAATTGTTTATTTGGTGTTATAATACTCTCAGAATGCATATGATCTTCATTTTCATATATTTAGAATATAGGTTTTCAGTATAGTTTACTGTAAAAAAAATCTTCAATATGGCATTTGAAGTACAGTATGTGCAAATTTAGACAATAAATATTTATAACTCCAAACCTTTAAGGTTTATGAAAAATCAATTCTATAGGGATTGTAGAACAGGCAGCTGTGCACACTATATGTAAAAATGGATATAATTGAAGTTATCGCCAATGAATAAGGCAGTTCTAATTCATGAATTTACTGGTATGTTATAATAAACATTGTTTGGCATTCATACTCGAATATGTGAAAGTTGTTGGTCAATATGTGTTGAATTGAAATCGAGAAAAAAATAACCCCCAAAAAACAAAATATAGGGATAACTATAATAATTATAATGATTTAGGAGATACATTTAGGGTATACTTTATATCATTTATATTAGTGAAAAACCCTAAACTGGTCCCTAATCATCAAAACAACCTAAAGACACAAAGAAAATAGAGTTTGAAACTGTGATGTAACCTTATGCTCCTGCTGCTGTCTTCTCTAATTTTGCCGGATCGCTTCTCCTTTTCTTTATGTTTCGTTTTTCTCCCCCTCTTCTCCTTTCTGATTGTCATTTCCTGCCGACCTTTTGGCGGTTTTGATTATTCTTTTGGACTTCTTCTATTTTGACACCTAGGTGTTTGAGGAGGCATACTCTTGTACCCGTAGAACTGTAGTACCAAACGTCTGGAGCGAGGGGACCCTTTTATTGTCAATCCTCCTTTCGTTATTGAACCCGATCTCGACGGACTGATAGTTCTTAAGGTGGCATTTGTGGGGCGTATACTCACGACGCACCCCTAGGGGGCCCCAGCATGATCGGCGATAGCTTCTTCTTGGGTGTCCTGCCTCTAATTGTGGCTCCATGGTGGGTATGGGGACATTCGTGAATGAAAGTCTGACCTCTCATCCTTATGTCAAATTTTGTTCCTCTTCTACCTTTTCAGGCTCGTGGGGTGGGCGACCAAGCCCCCGAGTCGGACTGTATTGGAAGACCAGGCTCTGTAGCCCCCCAACCTTGCTCCTCCTCTGACCCTCCTGACTACTGCCCTCGACTCCCCTCCCTCCCTCCCTCTGTGATTGGGTCGAGCCCAAGCCCCCAGTGACCACCATCTTGTCCCCTGGCAGTCTCTAGTAGTGACAACTGCACTACTGAACCTTTCTGGGGGTTCTCAACGCCGTCCTCGCCACGGCCGTGCTCGCTCGATTCCTTCCCGTACTAATGTGTTTCAAGCCTTGTTTGGTCCCGCTTCGTGGGCCAAATACTTTGCACTCCTCCCTCTTGATTCTACGCCTCCTGACGATTTCTCCCTCCATAGGAACCTTGTTGATTCAGTAGATGCCTCTGTTACCTTCAACCCCACCGTCTCGGTACACGTGTCATTACTGCTGCTCCTCAGGATGCAGCCTCCCGCTTGGCTGCCTTATCCTGCCTTAGCGAGACCCCTGTTTGTGTCTCCAAGAACGCTCGGTTCAGTGCCAGTGTTGGCACTATTTTCCTCCCACCCCATGTTGCTATCGGTGTTCGGAATCTGCAGGACTGCCACGAAGATATTCGGCATGTCCTGAAAGCCCAAGGCCGTTCTGTCCTCCAGGTGGACTCGTTTACTTGTCCCCCTTGTGGTCGTCGCCGTCAACCACTTCGGGTTGTGAAGATTACCTTTGATGGTAGGACCCTTCTGCCCTATGTCATTCTTGCTGGTGCTAGGTGCTCCGTCCAGAAGTACATTCCCTCTCCTCGGCTCTGTAATAAGTACTGGAGGTTTGGGCATGGAGCCCTTTGCTGCTCCAGTACTGTCTCTGTTCTGTGTGTGGGGACTAAGGTCACTCTAAGTCGGAGTGCATGTCTTTCCAGGCTCGCTGCCTCAATTGAAGTGAGGCCCATCCTACCTTCTCCTGCGCGTGTATACATTACAAGCTTGAGGCAGCTGTCCTCAAACTGAAGCACAGGGAACGTTTGTCTTTTCCTGAGGCAAGGCGCCAAGTTTGCTGTCTCCCCCCTTATGCTAACGTTTCTTATGCTCACGTGTTGCACTCTTCCTCTCCTCGCCTTTCCCGCCTTCCTCAGTCTCACAACCGTTTCCGGGCCTTAGACCCAGACACGCCCACCGCCGCTGCCTCTGTTCCTTTGCGTTCTGTCCCGGAGGGTCCCCCTCCTGTCTCTGTCTGGGGTTCCCCTTCTTTCTTCCCAGTCTGTCGTGTCTCCTGTGTCTTCTTCCTCGTCTCCCTCCGATCCTCTTTCCGATCCTTCTTCTCTATCTCTTAGCTCTCCATGCCGCCTGTCAGTGCGGACTGATGTCCATCGCTTTCCCAACGGCCTTCGTGTTTGCTCTCGTTTTGCTTCTCCTGTTGAGACGCTAGAATCTGTTGCCCAGTACATTGTTGCTGGGATGCCTGTCTCGTTGAATCAGAAACATAAGCCTGGCTCCTCTGCTTCCTCCTCCCCGGCAGGTAAGAAGGCTTCGCTTTCTTCCTCGCCCCCTATCTCCGACTCTCTTGCTCCCTCCTGTCCCGTTTCGGTGGTTCTGCCCCCTGTTCCTGCCATGAAGGTCTCTTTGGCCCCTGCTTTCCTCTCGGTTGCTTCCCTTGCTGAGGTGCACTCCCTGGTTTCTGCCCCTCCTGCTGCTGTCCTTGACCCTCGGTTGTCCCTCCCCCTCTCTTCCTCCTCCAGACCCTGCTCGTCTGCCCCTGGTCGATCCTCCAGCTCCCTTCCCATCTTCTTTACTGTACTCAGCTTACCCATGCCCCCTAACCCTAACTTCGCTGACCCTGACCCTGATCCTGCGCTTCTTTAACACACTGTGTTCCCTTTTCACCTTTGTTTCTTCGTTGTTCTCTGTTGCTGTCCTTTCTCTTCTTGTCGATGTGTATTCTTCACTGGAACATTCATGGTTATTACACCATTTTCCTTGAACTCCAACTTCTGCTTTCACGATTTCGCCCCTTTGTGTCTGTCTCCAGGAGCCAATTCTTGGTGCTCGTCCTGGTCGCTTTCGTGGCTATTCCTTTCTCTCCTCTCCCCACTAGCTGTTGCTGGGGCTCCTAACTCTTCTGCTTTCTTGATTTGCTCTGATGTTCCCTTTTGTCTGCTTACTTTTTCCTTCACCTCTCCATTGTTCTGCTGCTTGTATCTTTCTGAGGAAATGGTACACGGTTTTTTCCATTTATCTTCCCCCCGAGTGGCCTGCTTTCTCTTCATGATCTTAAACACCTACTGGACTCCTTGCCGGAGCTGTGCTCCTGCTAGGGGATTTCAATTGTCAATATACCTTTAGGGGTGATGTTCTGACAAACACCCGAGATTGCCTTCTCGAACCGTTCATCCTCTCTCCTTCCCTGTCTCTACTGAATTCTGGTGGACCCACTCATTTAGACTCTCGGACTCGCACCCTTTCATGTCTTGAGATTTCCCTTTGCTCGTCTTCCCTTTACTTAGATTTCGAGTGGCGGGTTCTTGACCTCCATGGCAGTGACCATTTTCCCATCCTTGTTTCCTTTTTCACTTTTCACCCTCCCCCTCTCCTTCCCTAGGTGGCGGTTTGCCGAGGCTGACTGGCCCCTCTTTACCCTCCGTGCTACTATCTCCGACCTCTCCATTCTGCCTCTCCCTTGCACCCTCCTCCTGTTTTATTCGGACTGTGCGGACGATCGTCTAGGTGGCCAGGAGTACTGTACCTCATCAGTGCCAGGGCTGCATGCGCTTAGTGGCTGACTTCCCTAAGCGCCCTGTGAGTACTGCCCTTGCGTAACAGGGTTATCTTCCCTGGTGCGTTCAGGAACCATTCCCATAGAGGTTCTTGCTGCTCGGCATTTGCCTCACCCTTGGGGCTAGCTGGGGCTTGGGGCCCTTGTTTGGCCCTGGGTAGAGATTGGTATTGTGCTGGTTAGGGCGTCAAGGTGTTGCACAGCCTGCCACCTAAGCGGCGGCCGGTTCCTGTTGCCTCTAGAGACGGTGTACTTTTGCAGGGTTTTCTTTTGTTATTATTTTCATGCCTGGTGGGGGCCTGCCTAGTGTGGCTATAGTTCCACTGGAAGTGTTTGGCGGCCCTCTGCTAGGCCCCCGTGATTGTACATGTCGCAGGGGTTTTCAGTGCTATAATCTACCCTCTTGTTATGTTTGGGTTTCTTAAACGGTTAGCAACACCTTGCCCGGGCTTCCCGTAGTTGTTACCCCTACGGGCCCTGGAAACCCCTGTCTGGGCTCAGGAGACCATTGAATGTGTCTTCCAGGTTCCAACCCGTCTTGTACGGGATCGTTGGTTGCTGTGCCCTTGTCTCCGGGTGACAGTCGCCATTTTTACCTCCGTCATGCTGCCTGTTGGGTCACTGACACCTTGACCCGGAGTCTTGTGAGAGA